TACTCTTATTTATCATACTGTAGTTTCCGCTTCTTTTTGTCTTCTAATTCCCGACATTATTGCGATTTATGTACTAACACTTTCAAAGGTGATTAATTAACTAAGCATAGCAACTACATTTGTTTAAAAATCTCTACTTTTTTTCCTTATTATCAACCTACTATTCTTCTAAATACTATATACAGAATGTGTATAGACATGGTAAATATTGTGTAAGCATTACCCTAACTCATGTTTAGTTGCATTTTTGAATAAACCCGAAATGGTTTCCTTACAACGCTTGTACACCAACAAGCTGTTTGTGAATAATGATAATGTCTTTTCGTCGGAAATCGAACCTATCAAATGATCTCGCAGTTACCTACACTTCCAGACTAACAAATAATAACAAAATGTATATGAAAAGCTCAGAAGCTACAACATTTCTGAGAGACTAATTCGGTATTCACCGCTACGCAACTCAAGTGGTGATTTGTTTACATCATCTCAATATATCTTATCATTACACCATACATTAACACGTCTATTAATGTTGATGACTTCACACTTCTAATTTTCATGAATATAACGATATGCATCCAGTTGCTAACCGTATGTTTTAAATTATTTTACTCCTGATTATGCACTTTCGTCATATTCTATGTTGCGTGTGATTAATAGCCTAGTCGTAAACGCTCGGGTCGAAGTAGTTTAGGACTACATCCAGGTCAAACCTAGAATGTTGGAAGATAGTACAGCTCAGTCCAATAGTTGCCGAAACAAGACGAACAATTGTACAGGACCAGTATAATGCTAACTGGCCATAAAGAGAAAATAACTTCCCGTGAGTAGAGTGCAGAATCATATTCGTCCTCAAGAACTAGGGCGTCATAAAGTCAAAATATTAATAACAATAATGGATAAGCAAGCACTGCCAGTTGCATTGCTCTCACTTCCTTCTCACATTCAACCATAATCAGCATACGAACACTGAACGTACAAAAAGTCTGTACAATAGATTAAGTATCATTAGTTACAATAAACTAATTTCACTAAAGAAATCTGTTAGAATGACGTATGTTTTTTCTTCTTCGATAGACTACGAATTTGTATCGACCTGACCATCCTTGTAAACCAGCGCTCAATATGCTATTATCATTAAATTATGTTGAAAAGCACGCAGGACGAAACATTTGTAACCTTTCAACTTGCCTTCATGAGATTTCTATGTTTCTATTGCTGAACTACTAAAAACCGCATTACTCTCAGTTACTATAACCACAAAGTTTAGTGTGGGAATGATGTACTTTTACCTAAATATTTAGTCGCACTTTTTGAGTGCTTGTCAGCATTAGACCATCAGGTTTTTTCTTTGGCCATCAGAACAGGCGTCACGGTTTTAGCTTTAACACTCGTCGCATCTTATTTCGCACCCCAGTCATGAAAGGGGCCCGTTTTCTGAAGCCCGGGTAAAGCAGGAGGGTAAGGAATGGGGCCAGCAACTCTATTCTGTAGGGAACCACCTTGCTTAAAAAACCCTGACCAGAGTAAACCATTTAAACTATTTCCTGGGAGTTAGAAGATCTTTATTCGGAAGAATCATGACGCCTCATAATGAAAGCCGAAGTACTTCGGACGTCGAAATGCCGATGTGACTTCGGACAACCAAAGCAGCAGTTAATATAAGTACATGGAATGTCCGGATAATGTCGGAGACCGGAAGGACGGTTATAAGCGGCACATATTTCCCACACAAACATAATCACAAAGCTACATTGGTGTCACCGGATCACACTACACATGACCAGATCGACCATATTTGTATCACCAAAACATCCTGATGGACAACGGAAAACGTGAGGACCAGCAGTAGAGCTGATATAACTTCAGGTCATCACCAACTGTTGGTTGCCAAGATGAAACTGAAGCTAACGAAACTTTGGACAGTCAGAGAGACAGCATTACAAAGGTTCAATACAGCCTTCCTTCTAGATACTGGCAAACTCAACGAATTCAGGATAGCTCTCAACAACAGGTTCCAAGCCTTGCATGACCAAATGAAAGAAGAAGAGACTATTATGGATGACATTTGGAAATGGATCAAATAAACACCAACTTCGACATATCAGGAAGCTTTATGCCCCAAGAATCATCATCACAAGAAATGAATCTCTATTGAAACCGTGGACAGTTTTCAAGAAAGGAAGAACACGAAGACTGCAATTAACAATAACCGAATGAGAATAGACAAAGTCAAAGCACAGACCGAATACACAGAAGCGAAAATATGAGAGAAGAGGAGCTTTAGAACAGAAAATCTGAAATACGTGTGAGGACTAACAATGATAGTCGAAAATGCTGCAAGAGATGGAATTATGAGAGAATTGTAAGGTGCAACAGAGAAACTAGAGGGGATATATTGTAAAGCGGTGTGACCATTCAAATATAAGGAGGCAAGCTGATAACTGAGATTGAAGAACAGTGGAAGAAATAGGTAGAATACTTCCAGGAACTCTTGAATAGATTAGCTTCATTGAATCCACCAGGCATTAAAATGGAACTTAAGACCTTCCTATCGATGTCACTCCACCGATGATCAAAGAAATCAGGATGACCGACCATGAGACAAATCAAGAGTGGGAAAGCAGCAACACCTGACAATATACCAGCCGAAACACTGTAGCCACATATAGAAGTAAGTGCAAGGATTCTTCAGATCCTATTCAGAAAGATTTGAGAAGAAGAACAAGTGCCACAGATCGTTTGGAAAGAAGGACACCTCATCAAGATACGAAAGAAAAGAGATCTGAGCAAACTTGTGGACTACATAGGAATTACACTGCTGCCGGTACCACAGAAAGTCTTCAACAGAGTCTTACTGAAGTGGATGCTCAATCTCAAGATCAAAAGTTCGGATTTCGTAAGTATCGGCCGTGTGACTGAATTGTGATACTACTGATCATCCTTGAACTATTTGTTGATTGGAACTCGTCACCATATATCAACTTCCTTGATTTTGAGAAATTATTCGGCAGGGTGGACAGGAGGATTTTATGGAAACTTCTTCCTTGATATCATGGTGTACCTGAGAAGATCGTCAACATCATCCGGACTTCATACGACGGACAACACTGCAGAGTCGTGCATGCAGGACAACTGACAGATGCATTCCAAGTGTGACCGGAATTAGACAAGGCTGCTCACTCTCCCTTTTTTCTGATGGTCAGCTGGATTATGAAGACCCCGACACCTGAAGAGAAGCACGCAATACAATGGATAGTTCGGAGTCGATTAAAATATTTGGTCTTCACAGATGATCTAGTTCTTCCATCCCATACATACCAATCAATGCAGTTGAAGACAGACAGTGTAGCAGCGGCCTGTGCATCAACAGGAATCATTATACTCAGGGGAAATGCAAGACCCTCAAATGCAAGCCGGAGAACACCAACCCACTTGCTGGTGAAGCTCTGGAAAATGTGGAATCTTTCATGTGTCTGGGAAGTATCTTCGATGAAAGAACACGCTGAAAACCTCTACACTTTGTTTCATCAAACAGTATTTTAGTTTGTTCGTTTCTCTCCCCTGTCTTGTATTTTAACCTTTATTTAGGCCTCTGTTAACCGCACTTTATATTTAACACCACTAACTCTATACAGAAGGACGTGGTCTGATCTAATCGAATAAATTTAGTTTCGTTAGCTCTGTGTTGACACCGAATATTGGCAATTTGTTTGTTATATACTCAACGTCTGTTGACCGGATACTATCGGTAACAGCCTGCTATGGGTGAGAAGCCACTTTCAGCTGAGGATGAAATTTGGAAAAGACGTTTTAGGTGGGCAGGACACACATTGACCAAACTATCAAACTCTATCACGATGCAACTACTAACTTGGAGTGCTAAATGGAAGGGGAATAAATGGAGATCAAGGAACACACTGCGTTGGAAATTGAAGGCAGACACAGAAAGGTTGAGTAGTAACTGGAAAGAGCTTCTAGTGTCGGCTATTATGTTAAGCCCATATACCTTATTCTAGCTTTCGGACAGACCATTTCATTCATTCTACTTGAGTCACATTCTGACCTTGTTATTTATTCCCTTATAAATCTTAACTGTTTTTATATGAAAACGTAGGTGTGTGTACACTTCTGATCCCATTACTCATCACATGTCTGTAACCTACTTTTATGTAACTGTAAATATTGATCAACGCTTGGTTCAAGGGGAGATGGCTCACCTGCCATCTCTACTCTGTGTCCTTTCTCTTCTCTCTATTCCATTCGCCTTATATACAAAATATATGTATTCACAAGTCCATTCTCGTCACTCGACTTATTTAATTCCATGATAAACTAACGCGATTTAAGTCGATAATTATATACGAGGATATGTGATAACAAACATTCATACGATCTAATTGGAGTCAGATCCACGGGCCACTAAAAGCTGGAGAGGATTACCCAGGACAGAGTTGGATGTAAGATGCTGGTGAGCGGCCCATCCACCTCCATGGAAGGTAACGAGTGTAACTATGTGGATGGATTTGCGTGTATATAGCATGCAATGCTCTTTGAACCTAGCACACAACAATACCGTCATGCACTGCACATTGCCATTCTCAGATCAGGCAACTCGAAAGTAACGAAAACACCACCGAAGCATAAGACGAAATAGGTATACCGGTCAATAAAATATAAACCGCTGGAGACTAGGGTGAATATCACTAAGCCGGCGTACATGGCGTCCAGCAGGAAACCAGGTGCATGCTTCATTATATATTTTTGGGTCATGATCCTTTCACAGGATCACCTGAGAAAAGCTTGTTATGAATTTCGCTTTCTCTAAATAGTCTTATTAGGCAATCCACTTAGTATCAGACGAATAGCAAAGTCGCTAAAACGACACCAACCTAACGACCTTACTAGACCATTCAATAGATAGTAACGACTGACGGTATGTGCAAAAGGTCAGGGACATAATCAACGACGACGCTGAACCAATCCCTTAAGTCAAGCGCGTTTATTGAAAATTTATGTCTATCCTTCGCCCTTTTCAATCTTTCTCACAGATCGATGAATTTATTGGATAGTGAAGATCGGCGTCTTCAAGCGGCTGCGTTGCCTTATGTTTCGTGCGCCAGTGTTAAAAAGGCTTTGGTGTGCGTATGGTATGTGGATGGTGTCTGGACATTAAGTAAATCTATATATCATAGTTAGCTTACGCATTTAAAAAGTTAGTTTTTGTACAAAGAACATCAGCGAATACCAAGTATTGACTGTGGAGTTTTTTAGTTAAGCATGTGCTTGTGGAGACCAGACTTTTTGACATGGTGTCATCTGACCACCTTTTGAAATCTAGTCCAGAAACATCACTGAAACAGAACTCAATTTCACTCAAGCGAAGTACAGGGCATTCGATGCTAGTGGAGTATAAATCGTTGGTATTAGGAAAATAACTTTCAGTTAGTATTATTTTTACTAACGACTATTCACATTCATAGCTAGTATGGTTGTTGGCTGGATAAAAGCCATGAGTGACTGGACCGAAACGTGAGATCGTTATGCAATGTTAATGTATATCAGCATGATCTGTGTTGGCTGATACAAACTATGTGATCGGGATCCTAACGATGGTTGTAATTAATGATTTAAGACGCACAAATTCAGTTAGTGACCTAGGCGCATATGTTCCTTATCTGCCCCCACATTTTAAGCTTCAACATCCATAGTCTATTCACCACTAAAACCATATTCTGTGTTTAATATATTTTCCATCAGTTATTACCACTACCATGATATTCATCTTCTTAATGTTATCTCGCTGTATCTTTGCGGTACATGGACTTGAACCGATAGATATTTGTCGTATGACGCTCACGGTTGAGTGACTGGAAAAAAAGGTTATAGCGCCCTTTAATATTGCTTCGCTAGGTCTATTTCTGATAAATTTGAGTCTACGAATGGTTTCAAAATAAATAACTGGGTCATTGGAAGTACAAAAACTCAGACTTAACTGCAAATCATTTTGTAAAATGTGCTGTTCTGATTGCAGTAATTCTCGTGAGTTTCACTAGGGTAATATTCTCCATATTCCAATCAGATTCAACGATCTAATGCATCATATATGTTAATATTTTTACCTGGGAACCAATCGGTCATTAGTTTATTTCCTTGTAATTTCAATGAACGTTAATTCAACTTATCGAATGTGCTGTAGACGTTTGATCGTCCGTTGGAGTTTCTGGGATTTTCAATCCTTTGGTATTCAACAAGGATTCCAACTTTTAAGATTCTCCATCACTTTCCACCAATTGGGGGTGCAATTTAAAAATGGATAACACTAAGTACATGAAGCCAATCACATAAAGTTATTGAGCAGAAGTGTAGGTTAAAGTTATTCATCAAAACCATATGTCCCCAGCATAACAAAAACAGTCAACGTTTCCTGGCTTTCCATAGTCACAAAATGGCACTTCCAAAATCGTGAATCGCCCAAATGCCCTGGTATGACCGAGAGCGGGTTGGGTTCGCCCTCCCTCTCGAAATACTCTCACACGGCCACGCGTATACAGCCTCTGCCAGGGAAGTCCTACTCACTGCCTTCTCGCACCAGGTGTGTTGTTTACGAAAATGAGAGGACGAAAAGCGAATGTCCGGCGCTTTAACCGGATCCCAAACCAAATCAATGGTACACATGGACTCCAGTATCCTGCGGGGACAAATGGCGTATGAACCAATTTTCGGTCACCGGCTACCATGGGACTGCATATACTTACGATGCTCCACTGCCTTGTGGGTAAGGCCTTCAGGTCAAAGGCTTGGGGTGTGGCCCCCTAAGATAACCACCTGTTGCGGTCTGGGCACCCGGGCAGTATCACAGCCCACACACAAATGATGAACTGCCTTTAATTATTGAAACTACTTTTCTTACTTCAACTAACAATCAAATGATTCAAATTATTACCATTACTATTATTGTGACTATTATTATTATTATTATTAACTACGACATTATTCACCCTCTTTTATTCCTACTCTGTCTATACTTATTTTTTCGACTTATACAGCAGCTCATCTTTGGTGGAAATTCGACTCTATCTAAACGTACTCGAGTCACTGTCCGGTTGAAAATTGTATGTTACCACCGAATACGAGGACTGAAGCAGTTTTTCTGAAACCACGTACACCATTCACAAACTGGCTACCTTCAACGTTCGCACACTTATGCAGGTTGGACAACAGATAGGGCTGACTATGTCTTTAGAAAGTCTTAATATCGATGTTCGCTGTCTATCCGAGACCCGTATTCAAGACTCTGGTGAAGTACTACAAATTCGCTCTTCATCTGTCGCTTCGTAAAGCTTGTTTTACGTGCGTTTATCCGGGGACTGTGGCATCTTCGTATGGTCTTGCTGGCGTCGGTGTCGCACTAAGCGCTAGAGCTGAGGCAGCACTAATCGATTGGATCTCCATTAACAGTTGGTTATGTGCTGTTACATTAGAAAGTCCCATCAAAGTGAGAAGAAATCGGCGTGAGAAACTATGTCTTTTCGTCATCTCCGCCTATGCCCCGACAGATTGCAGCCCGGATGCAATCAAGGATGAGTTTTATCATCAGTTATCTGTTTTTCTCCAGAAAGTGCGTTCGACAGATATTGTAGTACTAGCCGGAGACTTGAGTGCTCAGGTCGGGCGTCTAGGCGGTGTGTGTCTGAGAAGTTTATTAACATCCTAAAAGCCCTATATATAAACAACTCAAGCAGAGTGAGGGCTCACAACTACATCTCTCCATTGTTCCATTCGAGCAGTGGGGTTAGACAGGGTTGCCCAATCTCATCATTCCTCTTCAACTTTGCCATCGATGACATTCTGGAAACAGCTCTGATGGATGTAAGTGATGGTGGTGTGGATCTGTTGCCTTGAGTATGCGGATGATATTGTCTTACTGTGCGATAATGCCCAAGCCATGCAATCCGCACTTAATCAGTTGGCAATCAGTGTCCGTAGGTACGGTATGACCTTTGCACCTTCAAAGTGCAATGTACTTCTACAAGACTGGCAGGATTCTAATCCTGTACTCACTCTGGATGGTGAGCAGGTAGAAGTAGTCGAGATGTTATTCTGGCTGTAAAAGGTCGTATCTACAACGCGTCGGTGAAAGCAATTCTGCTCTATGCTTGTGAAACCTGGCCTCTCCGAGTTGAGGATGTCAGACGACTCTCTGTGTTTGATCATCGTTGTCTCCGAAGGATTGCTGCCATCCAGTGGCAACACCATGTTAGTAATGCAGAGGTTTGGAATCGTGTGTTCGGGCGCAGAGACAATAATCCAATTGGTGTCACTCTCTTGAAACATCGACTTCGGTGGCTTGGACATGTTCTACGAATGTCGTCCCAGAAGATTCCACGTCGTGCATTATTTGCCGACGCTGGGACTGGTTGGAAAAATCGGAGAGGTGGTCAGTGTATGACATGGTGTCATGGTACGAGAGAAAGCTACAAAAGACTGGCTTGTGTTGGTCATTCACGACTCCCTGACTGGGGTACGAGAGATGGTGCGACACAGTGGCTAGAGAAGTTATCAGATATGGCTCAGAATAGAAGTCAGTTGCGATCCTGCTGTAACCTTCTTTTAATTTCTTCATAAAAAGTGATTGTATCTTAACTGAAAGATTTCTTCTGATTGAACCTTTCCGTTTACCCCATTATCACTATTATTACTATTACAGTACCTTACTTCAATGTCTTCGTTATTGTTCTCTTTTTTTATGCTCCTTACCTTTTTTCTTTTTCCTTCTCTTTAAATTCTCATTGTTTTGTGTGGCGCATATATATTGGCGCTCTCTTGTACCAATATTTCTATGTTCAAATAAATAAATAAATTTACTACAACTTAATACCAAGATCTTTATGATAATAGCTTTTAAACTAAACTTTAAATAGTCCATAGACAAGTAAGTCATGCCATACAGTTTTATAAAGAAAAATATACTTAGCAATATACATTTTTGTGTTCAACGTAACTTTAAATATTAATATTAATTTTCATATCTATTTCTACAGGTTATCACCAATCTTTAAACTTTTTCATCAAATGCGGAATTCTTCATTTTATATTACCAAATCGATCGTTTATGAGTGCTTATCTCACAGTCCATTCAGACGATGCAATTTTTCTAGTGATTCCGGGGATTCACAATGTTTAACAAAGCCTCGATATAAATGGGCTGTATATGGCAAAAGGTACTTTTAGTATCACTGAGGAAATTTTTTAAGTGCAACTGATAATGATCCACATAAAACTTCCATAATTTTATTCCCAGGACAAGGATCTCATTTTGTCGGGATGGGCAAAAATCTTGTAAAGTTACCGAAGATAAGGCAAATGTTTCAATGTGCCAATGAAATATTAAGAACAGATATTCTTCGTATTTGCCTTGAGGGTCCTGCTTCAAAACTATCAAAAACCATTCACTGTCAACCAGCTACTTTTATAATTTCTTTAGCAGCCCTTGTAAAGCTTCGAGAAGAAAATGACGAGGTTTGTATGCCATATAATTCACGCTATATTTTTTAAGTTAATTAGAAATTGCGTGGTTACAGCAGGGTTTAGTCTCGGCGAGATCAGTGCTTTAGTGTTTTCGGGTGCCCTGACGTATGAAGAAGGTGAGTCTACTTATTTTCATATATTAATGAAAACAGGTCTGCATATCATTCGTGTCCGAGCAGAAGCCATGCAAAAAGCTTGTGATGAAAAAGCTGGAGCAATGGTTACTGTTTTCCTCAATCCTGGATCCCCATTAAAACTTTGTATAGCAGCAGCTATCAATCATTGCGAGGTTCGCCATAAAATCCAGAACCCTTGTTGTAAAGTTGCTAACTATTTATATCCAGATTGCAAAGTTATCGCTGGAAATAAAGAGGTAATATATTTCAAATCAGGATAATATTTTTTGAACTCCATACAATACTTGCCTATCATAATCCCTTACTTTACCTATCAACAATATCTTTACTATATTTCTAAGTTATAGAAAAGGATCTGTAAATATCTCTTGATTTAATTACTAAATAATATAGTCAGTATTGCATTAAATAGAATCAACACAGAGGATAAAAATGCCTTCAGTAATGTTTACATCTTCGTACTTATACAGAGTCACAGATTCAAAAGATGTGGTCATTATTATGTAGTGTTTTTCCTTACTGGATTTTCGTTTGCCATCCCATCTAGATTGTACTTCTGTGGTTGTTTGACTTAATACACTGCTCAACTTCAGTAAAAATACGTTTCAATTAGTTTCCGGAGACTGGTTTATTTTAGTTTCATTATGACTTTCTGTTCACTGGGTGATTTATCGCTTACTTAATACATGAAACCATTATATACAACAGAACTCCGTAAATTTGTTATTCTTTGTGCATCCAATTAGTGTTGTTCTCATCACAAATTCGCCAATGCACCTGCATTCTCATGTATGTCAATATTCATATGAGCCCTTCTGTTTTTATTTATCAAGTATGTGTAATTATAAACAGCTTCGATGTTCAGTTTTCCTTGGTGAAAAAACTAGACACATTTGATATACGAACGTTAAGAACTCACGCTCTACCCTTAGAGTTACATCCTACTTAGAGGTCTCCTTATCAACATAGATTATGAGCTTATCTACTTCTATTAAATAAATAGTTCGGAAATGTAGTATTTTAAGCTCAGTGAAACCATATGGTTTTGTTTTACAGCTGCGTATATCATGCACTTGTAGATAAGCAGCTACTATCTTAAATTTTTACTGATTTTGTTAAGATTAACTGCATAAAATAGTTATTCCCTAGTTTCATTTGGATTTAAATCTTCCTATCAAATAATTTCAGGCAATCGACTTTATTGAAGATCATGCTGGTCAATTTGGAATACGTCGAACTAAACGATTACCAGTTGATGGGGCTTTTCATACTCCTTTGATGTTCTCTGCCCGGAAAGTTATTGCTAATTCACTAGATAGGATGGGGAATTTCCGGAGACCTTCGATACCTGTTATTAGTGCCGTAGATGTGTTACCGTATAGAGGTACAATGAATATTAAACGAAAACTTGCTATGCAGGTACATACTTCTGTATTAAGAATTTGTAAGAAAGCTAATGCTAGCATAAACATTTGAAATTTTTTTAATGCTTCGCATTTACAAGAAACGGTGTAGGTCATTCTAGGAAGCGCTGTAGAAATCCACTCGTAAGTCATAAAACTATTTTTCGAGGTTTCACAGGGAGAGATGTCATTTACGTTTAATGGCTCAGAGTCGATCACAATGATGTAGTTGCATTCATTTCCTATCTTACCTTAAGTCATGTTCATCAATATCATTTCTATTCCTCAAATCCATTCATTTCAAATCGTATTCCTCAATGTCTAATTTTTTTCACTATCATTATTTCGGTTCTTGCTAATAATCTTGTAAACTGAATCCTTCCTAGTTGTGTGATAGTAACTTAGATCGATACATATTTGTTACAATCTTTATAACTGACTAACCCAACTACTTAAGCATACGTTCAGTGATGTGATTAAAAACAATATACGTGTTGAACAATTAATAGATCCCTGATATTGACCATTTCCGGTAATAAATGTTAGACGTACTGTTGAGTCTAAGTATGATATCAGACTCAATTTATCGATATAATTCCATAATTAACAAATTACCTTGCTTACGGTTAGAAGTTGGGTATGTGTAGTTAGCATTCATCCTACTCATCTCATATGTAGTAATACGAATAGGGACTCACTGTGGCTTAATAAAAGACTACTTCTGTTAGATTTACTTAGTATATCACTAAATAACATTTAAAAATATACCTGATGTAGAAAAGTAGTAGTCATTAATTTTTCACGCAGTAAGGACGGTCTTAGTGATTTGCTATCAAAATACAATCTTTATTAAGGAATAAAATAAATGTCTCACCGTCCAAAGGTAGGTTTCCTAACATTTTTAAAAATAGACTTTCAAATTTACAAACGCGATATTTCAATTAGTTGCATGTGACGGATAAAAAACTCAAGAAATAAATTTCGCGCTGATTGCTAGTCACCAGAAATCTGTGTCTCCGATCTCAGAGAAAGTGACATTCCCTGTAGTCAATCAGCAGTAAGGGCTAGACAAACATAGCATTTGTTATTATACGGATAGACCATTCGACAGAAATGTATACACATTTATTACTTATTTTAACAAGGGGGCAACAGATACATAAGCGCCACGCAATAACAATGAGAATGGGAAGAGATAGAGAATGTAAGGTGCGCATAAGAAAAAAAGAACAATAACGACCACAGATTAGTGTATGGTAGTGTAATAATGATAATGATGGGGGAAACGGTAAGGTATAACCAGAATTCTTTCTGTTAAAAAAGATACAATCACATTTTATGAAGAAATTAAAAGAAGGTTACAGCAGGATCGCGACTGACTTCTATTCTGAGCCATATCTGATAACTTCTCTAGCCACTGTGTCGCACCATCTCTCGTACCCCAGTCAGGGAGTCGTGAAGGACCAACACAAGCCAGTCTTTTGTAGCTTTCTCTCGTACCATGACACCATGTCATACACTGACCACCTCTCCGATTTTTCCAACCAGTCCCAGCGTCGGCAAATAATGCACGACGTGGAATCTTCTGGGACGACATTCGTAGAACATGTCCAAGCCACCGAAGTCGATGTTTCAAGAGAGTGACACCAATTGGATTATTGTCTCTGCGCCCGAACACACGATTCCAAACCTCTGCATTACTAACATGGTGTTGCCACTGGATCTCAGCAGTCCTTCGAGGACAGCGATAACCTAACACCCCCAACTCGTATAGGCCAGGTTTCACAAGCATAGAGAAGAACTGCTTTCTCCGATGCGTTGTAGATACGACCTCTTACAGCCAGACTAACACGAAGGCGCCAAACGTAGCCCAGATTGGCATACCCCGCTCTGGCTTTCACTATACGTGCATTGATCTCATCACTCATACCCCCACCAGCACTTATGCAGCTACCTAGATACACGAGCTTCTCGACTACTTCTATCTGTTCACCATCCAGAGTGAGTGCAGGATTAGAATCCTGCCAGTCTTGTAGAAGTACTTTGCACTTCGAAGGTGCAAAGCACATACCATACCTACGGACTCTGATTGCCAACTGATTAAGTGCGGATTGCATGGCTTGGGCATTATCGCACAGTAAAACAATGATATAGTTTTGAAGTATTTATTCATTGTAATTGTCCATTATTATAACTAATAAAATTTTATGGTCCAGCCACAACTTGTTTGTATATTTCCTATTTTTATCCCTGTAACACAGTAATTGCAAATTTATAACCATGGCGTTTGAGATTTAAACTGCTGAAAACAATTTTTCGTCCTAATACTCTTTTTGAGAGCAATCTGTACGGACCTTTCGAGTTACTGGATAATTGTTTATTCGTTATTTCTCTGTAAATCTATTTCGTGCTACTTCGGAGGCATGACTAGTTAGTATTCGTTTGATATCTTCAGATGTTAGCAGTTTCAAAAAAGCTTTGTGTCTTTGTACTCTTTACAGGTTATCCGTCCTGTAAGATGGGAGCAAACGATGTATGCACTATATGATCGCCCAACAGATGTCCCTTTTCCTCGTACAATTGAAGCCGGTCCTGGCCGACAACTTGGTGCGATGCTGAGGATGGTCAACCGTGGAGCATTTGATGGTTACAGCTCTATAGACGTGTAGATATTGTCATTCTCTTCAGTTGCATTTAATGTGTACCCATGTATATACCAACCAACGTGTACAGCTAAGCAAAATATATTAGCAAATTAAACTCAATGATTTTATTTGGGGATACATGATTTAGTAATGTAATAATTTTTTAGAGGTGTAGCTTACTCGTGATTTATTTTTTCACCTCTATAAGTTACGATATTCTTTTCAGTTTCCCATATTTTGACTTCGTAAAGTAAATTATTAGGGATAGCATTGACTAACTGTGACCATATGAAAACTGCTAAGTTTTCCGTAGTTGATACAATACTATTCTTTTTAAAATATTCAACATCTTCATCTATATTTTTATGATCTAATAGGTCGAGGACATGTTTTTGAACAACTGATTTCAAGTCACTTATGTTCATAATCATACCGGTTCTTTGATCGATAGGTCCTGAAACTGTGACTTCTAATTTGTAATTATGACCATGTCCCATTGGATTATTACATTTTTGAAACAGTTTAACATTTTCTTCATTACTAAGATGTTGTGAATGAAGACGATGACAGGCTGAGAATGATTCTACTCTCGTGAGGTAACATAGAGCACACATCTGTGAAGTATTACATGTATATAGTCCTGTTGAAAGAAACAAAAGTTAACAATAATAGTTTGGCATAAAATCAACTATCAATATTCGAAAATTTCCTCAATGACTATTATCTTCATACGGTAAAATGACTGCACAACAAAGGGAGTCCTCATCATTAGTAATACCGACAAAGCTAAATGAGTGGCCGTTTTTAATTCAGTCAAGACCTAGTTAAGTAAAGCAACTAGTAACAAGGAGAAATTCTACCGTTCCGTGGTATACAGAAAGCAAGTAATCCTTGTTCCCATTGTGTAAAGTGTTGGCGTACAAACCCAGTGACTAAATTTATTTTTACTTTATTTAAATACATAAATATTGGTACAAGGAGGCGCTGAATATATATATGCCACGCTTCATCATTCAATTTGTGTGAGAGTTGGGATATTGCTCGAGCGCCCAAACCGGACCAAGTGGTTTCCTTAGGGGGCCACTCCCCGAGCCTTTGACCTAGAGGTCCAATCCACAAGGCAGCGGGGCAAGTTTTTAGATGCAGTCCCATGGTAGCCAGTCACCAACAATCGGTTCATACACCATGTGTTCCCTCAGGATCCTGGAGCCCATGAGCAGTATTGGTTTGGAATCGGGCCTTTCCTACTCCTCTAAGGTGCAATCTTCGTATCCGCCAGCTCGGTTAAAGCGCCGGACATTCGCTTTTCATCCTCTCAACTGCATAAAAATACCCCTGGCGCGAGAATGCAGTGAGTAGGACCTCCCTGACAAAGGTTGTATACCCGTAGCAACGTAAGAGCATATGAGAGAGTGGACTCTTCCCACCCTTGGTCGCACCAGGGCATTTAGCGGCTAGTGCATAAAGACAATTAATATCACTAATCGGGGTCATCAAAATTACTATGCTGAGTAAAATTGCGTCAACAGAGACTTGATATTAGAGTTTCTATATCTCCAGTTTACTTCATAAGCAATGTGTATTTCTGTGACTTGTGTTGTCCTTCAAAAGATTGTCCATTAATTCACATTCGTCTTTACAATAATCTTGGCTTTAAAATATTTCCAGATTAATGAAGCTAAGAATCAAGTTAAACACTGGGCAGGTTTCTATCTTCTTTAGGACTTGACTCTATCTAAAGTGTTAATAGAACTTGCTTTACATTGTTTGGTCACTTAGTTTGCGTCAATGCAAACAACACTGCACCCTCATCTATATCCAGCAGTCACAACAAACTGCTATGGATGCCACCTACCAATTTCCTTCTAATACTTTGAATCTGATATACCCCATTTTGTTTATCTTGTACGCCGAATCGATATCAACGGCCTCCGGAATTTTTTAATGAATATCGATCATATCGCTACGTGCATAAACAATCTCCGATATATTGCTAAGATTGCTTTGAAGCACTTTCGCCTTCCCAATATCCCTTACACGACGTATAAGATCATTTAAAATCACAATTCCTGTTTTTTTATGGTTATTTATACACAACACTTACGTTGGTAGCCTTGTCCTTACATTTCTAGTGTTACTGTACAGCATAACTTTCTTAATTTCTTTCTACGCTAAATCCATGACTCAAAACATCGATATTTCCCTGAACAAAAGGTTGAACGGCGTCCCTCTCAGCACTCAACGACCTTCTTCTCGAGCTATCTGTGGTCACGAAGATGTCAGTACATGGGTGGTAATGTGAGGCATTAAAAAGTGCCATTTCGTATTATCCAGTGATACACACTACTCTCATTTTAAACTTACTACCCAAATATTAACACCCAGAATGGCGTCGAACGTTGAAGAAGACAGATTTGTCCCTTGTTACTTAGTCCGGGACCCCGAGTAGGATGCAAGATCCCGAAAGTGAATTGGTACTTCGCATACTGACACTTTGTTGTACTAGACCTATTAAGGTGTCTCAAAGTAACAGTACGGGAAGTATTGGGCTCCTGAAACGTAGGTTGTTCAGGTTCCACACTAGTTGTCTTCATGAATCCATCTGTAAATATGTAGCATGCTGATTCGCTGTCTAGACCAGAGGTAGCTCAACTACAATGTGCGCATGAAGAACACGGAATGTGACCTAAGCAACCAATGAAGGGGAACATAGGGGAAGCAATGGTGAAATGACGACTTCTGAGGTTGGCTACTTGGGGTTGAGCAAAAGGTAGGTAATTTGGCGTGTATTTGGGAAAAACGTAGACAGTTTCGCCACATTTCAAACATGCAGCAACAAAAAGGGGAGTTTCGCAACATTTCTCCATGGCAGACGAGAAAGAGGATCTGTAGCGCATCTCCTCTTTTAAATCCGTGTTCCTATTTGTCCCCTCTATTGATTGCTTAGAAAGGATGCTGGAAAGGGGAGGGCATTTTCATGTTCGATCTCTGAACGACGCTGAATCAACCTTCAGAAAACTCACCTACTTGCTAGGGTCAAAAAGAGGATTATGGACTAATGTGAGGAATCAGGAATGGGACGAAAAGTAAGGAGTTAGTGTTCGAACCTACAGTTTGGGTTTTCATGACAAAAAACACAACATAATCCTCGAGTGTAACATGGATGGTCGAACCACGCGCTAAAGCTCAAGGCCTACTTTTGGTTCATCCGTAAATTATAGTCTTGTCGAGGCACAGTATGATGGACCTAAACGTTATCTGGTGTGAATGTGCAACAGAGCACCTCCTGCTATGGTTGTATTCAATTTCACAATTGAGAACGAGGGCTTACAGAAGTCTTCATTTTCAGTAAGTTTAGCTGTTAAAACCCTTTTACTTATTATAAGTCTAGCAGTAAATAAATCCCCATAATCAATAGTTCTGTCAGTCTTCGATGTTTTATGCTGACCGTAATAATTTTAATGGATTCACCTAGCTGGAGGCTGTCGGTCACTCATCCGCACCAAATCATCAGTGGGTATGCCATACTACTCATCACTTTGATCAGTTAGCCAGCTTAGACCAAACGTTTCTATATATACCGATAGCCTTCCGAAAGATCCTTCGAATTCTTTTATTTCTGACTTGACTGGGTTGGCAAGCTTCAATTGTAAAGGGATTACTCGTTATGGCTTTGTCAATCTCCGAATACTTGTGACATCTTTACGACTTTCATTATTTGTTACCTATCTGTCTTATGCTCCAGGTACTCGGACCATACGATGTGCGGATGGTCTTCAACTTTAGAAGTGTTACGAAGTCTCTCGAATAATCCGATTCTACAAGGGGAATTGAAGATGACCTAGATAATATCCTCACCTTTTAAGAAGACCTAAACAGAATGCATGTCGAAGAGAAACTTCTTTCCTCCCATTATCACTTAATTTAGAAACTTAATGATGGATAGTACCCTTTAAGAGATCTCAGAGCCTCAATCTAAACGACTTGAGCATCGTTCTTTATTATACTTTCGGTGGATCTTCCCTTTGGCATTTGAGCCCATTTAACTTATCCACTTCAAAGAGTGCCTTTCAGAATACCTAGAAATTTTGCTCTGGAATTAATCGAAACGTTTCACAGTTCTCCTAATATTTCATGTGGAAAAAGCTCATGTATTATATCCCCTTACCATATAAAGCATAATGACCTTATGGAATGTGTTTAGAGAAGAGCACCTAAGAAATCACGCGGATGAATAAAATAAATCCTACTCACCTCGGTTCGAAGCATTCAGTCTGCAACTAGTTCAGTATGAGAGGATTGGGAGTGTTGGAAATACGATGGACCGTATCGCTCATAATACTCTCTACCTGTGTTAAAGTAACGAGTCACACTTGGAAAAACATCTCCTAAGGTTAGGACACGAACGGGCCTGATTAGAAGTAGATGAAAGTTAGTCGATACTTGAGTCAGCAAGATATGGATCTCTCCACCAGAAGCAGTGGGTAAATCCCTCCCCTACATTCCTCAAGTCAGCCTCGATGATTAATCAAGTCCTTTAAGTACTAGGAAAGACTAATCTAAAAATTACCTCAAAATCACTTGTTACATAACTTGCTCTGGTCTTCAGTTTCCACAAAGATAAAAACCTGAAGCAGAACTTCACAAAGAAGAATGCTCTCAAACTGTTCAGACCAAGTTCCTGGGGAATGAACGTTTAGCCAGTTCCGCCTAGCGAAGGTGAAGTTGGAAAATCTGTAATGATAGATGAACCCGCAAAATAATTAGCTCCATGTGTCTTCGATACCAGTGTTGATCTCACTTGTTTTACTGGACATAACCATAGCTGAAACAGCTAGGTTGACCACCCTCAATAGATTACGTTTGTTTACACCGCTCTGCGCGTCTTCCACAAAAATTATCCAACTTGGATGATATAGTTCAGATTTCAGACAGCGAATTAAACAGTTGTTTTTACCGTAGAGCTTGCAGAATTCTAGAGGGCCTAGATGCCTCGGATGGCTGTGCCTCACTGAATACAGTTATGCTAGGCAGCAGCCAGTTTTGTATCGCAAGATACTTCCGACGGAAGATAATGTTGAAATGAAGTTATTATGAACCCTTACCATAAACGAAACGAATACCGTTGTATATTTGACTGAAACTACGAAGCCAGTGAAATAACTGGAACCATAGCCAAAACTTCTGTCATCCTGAGTGTATCCTTGTCTCAAAATACCTATCACATTATGCTGAATTGCTTGTATCAACTTGTTGAGATCATTGGTGCGTAGGGATTATTAGTTGATTAACTACTTGGAAACGACCTCTGGTATCATTATGTCGGTTTTGTCCTTCCTTTCTCTTCGTATGTAAACGTTATTGAATCAGCTGTTTGACGTTTTGCTATGGTTTAACGTAGAAGATAGAAGTCAGACCACAAGTGATTTATTTTTCAGGAAAAACGAATGTAACTGAACACAGTATCATACCGTACAAAATTAATCCCCATGTTGGTTTTACAATAAATTTTCATTCGTTTCACTTTTCGCCATACGGTGGGCGCGAAAAAGCACCACGAAATTAGGACTAAAACCCATCGTATTTCGAAGGCGACTTAACACAAAAGGACAATCAGTGTGTCAACTCCCTCGGCAAACA